TTCTTTAATAATGTCTTCCTTTTTATCATGAATTTTACACACAGGGAAGAGCAGCGTAGATTTTCTAAGCTTGAATTGAACAACTTCATGTTTTTTGGATTGATCAGATACCATGTGTTCTCCCACACAAGCCTTACACAGGTTGACAAGACATGAATCACAGTGCATCTGTACTACAGCGGTCTCACACAGGTCACATCGCATCACGTCCTGGGCACTGGTACGAGGGTCCATGATCAGAGTAGTCCTGTAGTGTAGAAAAAGGTTGCATTGTTAATGCTAATATTACACTAATGGCACCTCAATGTATTGACTGTACATAATCAATATGCTATCAAGTCACCTGTATTTATCTTTAGTCAAGTCCAGGAGAACGAAGATAATAAAACTGAGTCGATATTCTAAAATTATGTTTAGCAAATGATACTGAAATACTGTATTGTCAAGTGACAGTCTTGCTGCCTTAGTCATTATTTACATGTATATCCATGACCTTGAAAACATTATTTTTGAAAGGGGTACATTCTTATGATGGATAAGAATGTACGCTTGTCTTCTAAACAATCTTACATGTCGAAATTTTTCCTTCAAATAAGGAATGTTTTTAAGTTTTATGTGAGTTATTGGTGTTTGAAACACACAGACTTGTCATGTAGGCATATTTCATGAAGCGCGCTAGCGCTTCATGAAAAATATGCCTACGTGCAAGTCTGTGTGATTCTCACACCAATAACTAACACAAAACTTAAAAACATTCCTTATATTTACATTTTACATGTTTGGGAGAAACTAAAATATACTCAATATCTGAATTCTCGCTGCCCTATATCGTTGTATTTTTCTAACGTCGCTGCAGTCTCATTGTGACGTCACGTTAACACGTTTCCCCGTGTATATTTCTACGCGTGAGTATACACGAAAATGCATTGGCGTCGGAAGCAAAATGAAAGTGGGGGGGCTAAGTGTAAAGAAAATTTTGTTTGTACCTTCAAAAAAACCTGACAAGCAAAAAAAAAAAAAAAAAAAAAAATTGCCCAAACTCGAAATACCTATTTCGTGGTGGTGGGGGGGGGGGGGGGGTTCGAACTTCAGTACCAAAATCTTTTCCCAACACAACCACTTTCCGCACTTTAAACCTACACTAAGACCTATCTGTGGAAAGTGGGGGGGGGGGGTAAACCTACGTAGATATGTTCAATGTCTAAACTAAGTATATATTTGGAAAAAAAGTGGGGGCCCCCCCCCTTGCCCCCCGGTTCCGACGCCTATGAAATGGTTTTAAAATCAGTTTCACAGTTAGCTTAGTAGTAAAACACAGCGAATGTAAATATTTTATATTATACATATTTGAAGTTTATTTTGTCTTGTATGAAATTCGTATGTAATCAAATTAAATCAAATTTATCAAATGAAATCATTCCATAGTTATTACCTGACTTTAATGGCGTCTGTCTTGTCGACTAAATGATGTCCAAATCAATGTATTGGATTACCTGCTCACCTGTGCAATATCTACCTGCCCGGTATTTATACTTTCTGGTTGGAGTCATTAATAGCTTTATTCACTGCATAGCGTTAAAGAATTCCAAACGCAGTAAAAATTGTGGATTTAAACTCGTGATAAATAAAATATTTTGTAAATGTATGTCATTGCTCTGTTGCTGGTACATTTAAGTGTAATTCACATGCGTTTTTTAAAAATTAAGATGATGCCACATCGCTAAGATTATCATTTTAGCAACAAAAAAAGAAGTCGTTTCAATATTGACTGAAAGTTCTACAGGAGTGGCCCCGAAGCCCACCCTACCCTTTGGGCCTTGATCTGAAAAAATAAGCATGAATATACACTACGTACATGTAGGGATGCTCCCATATATTAAATATGATCAATCATGGCTTTGCTGTTCCTGAGAAGATTTTTGAAAGAATTTTTTCTATATATTTAAATTGTGGTCCATACCTCGAGGATTATGATTTGAAAATATCTTATTAACACTGACAGGTATCGAGCTGATTTTTTGTATGGTACATGTAGTCTACCCTGATAAGTTACTGGTAAAGTTTGCATTTTGTTCAGCTTCGGTGAGGTTTTTTTTTTCTCGGAAATATGGCGTTTTTAATCAGAAGCAGGACACACACTGCCGATAATTAAAAGCAACAAGTATTCTAATGCAAGCCTTTCAGATTGCTTGTTGCATGTATTCCCCTGTCTGTGAAAACTTGCATACATGGAAAGAGGGATAAGCCATCAAGAAACTGAAGAATTCTTTTGAAATTCAGGTGCACTGAAAAAAAAACTTTGGATTGAATCTTAAGCATTTGTGAATTTGTTTTTAAAATTTTTTTTTTAAATAAGTACGAGTCTTCACCTAAGCAACACGCATTTGGCGAGTTTTTTGGCATTTTACTTAGGAAAATGCGTGGTGTTTAAAAGTAAATGGAACAATGGGAACATAGAAATATCAAAGAGGGTGAATGCAAGAAAAGTGAATGCAAGAAAATTTTAGTATTTCTGACCAGATTTGGTGACAAGACGCTAAGAAGAAGTCAATGAGTATGCACGAACGCTGGGCAGCAGGAATGATGGATTCTGGCGTCACGTTGCAGAAATTACACTGCACTACACTAAATACTTGATATCGCGATTACTTAACTTAGCAGAACTCTTTGGCAATGGAGGTAGGAAACGTCTGTTGGCTGGGGACAAATGTGCTATTGAATACAATGCAAGATTGTATGAAATTCATTTTAAAATAATAAAGTACCCCACCACAGCACGATACTCCCGTCAAACACCCGTAGTGTCCATTCAATTAATATAAAATATTTAGGGTGCGAGGATATCATGGCAACCTTTAAAAGGATTTCCATAATTTTTTTTATTCCTTTTGATATTTGTTTAAACATCTCCTGTGGTGTAAGCATTAATTATAACAAATAATCATCAAATGGTTGCATTATAGCTTGACAAATGCCCCTCCCCCACAAACACACACATATATATGCATAAATCTTTCATATGGGACATGATGCTCTGAAATTTGTCACTTGATATTTTAAAAAAAAATTTAATATATCAATTTAACTAATAAGTATTAAAAACTTAATCTATAACAAATGGATTTTAGAAATAGAAGGCTGGCCATCAATTAGCATATGCTATTTAAACTGACCAGCAGTTCTTCTGTCTAATTCCCAAAGGACCTATCAGAGATATCAGCCAACAGAAATGATAGAGACAGCTAGCTTCCTACAATGAACTCATTAATTAATCTTTGACTGGATGCAGTTCCACTGATTTATGCCAAGGGATCCAATTTTCTATTATCAAAATTATCCTTGACCAGTGCTTGATAATTATACCCTTGGGAGAGATAGATTATCTCTTATAAAATAACATTTGATATGGATTGCTGTAAAGTATATACTGAAAAAATATTATTTTCGTAATTTAGCATTTTTTAAACAGGGATAAAAAAAAACAATCTTACATTTTTGGGATTGTGTAATTCAATAGTAAAAGACAGGTTTCTTTTTAAAAATTCACTTAACTTTTAATCTTTTTAAAAATTCACTTAAATTAAAGGTCATTGTGACCTTAAAATAGGTTGTGACACACCTTCTACCCAAGATGCATAAATTGTCTAAGTTTGATGATTGTCAGTCTAATAATTTCTTAGTTATGCGCCAAACAAAACCATAAAATAAATAAGAAAAACCACCTGTAAAATGCAGAAAAATCATCCAATCATGATGAAAATACCAGGTGCACACCTTCATATGGTGAATAATAAGTGTACAAATTTTCAATCAAATCCGTTTAATAGTTTCTGAGAAACCGTCCGGACAAAATCTTGTCTACAGACAGACGGACAGCTAGACAGACAGACGGACATGATGGTTCCAATATACCCCCCTAAACTTCGTTTGCGGGGGTATAATAAAGGTAAATAGGTCAATAAATTGCATTACCCTCACAATTTTTTCCATATACAAAATACTTTTACTCTATTCAAGCAAACAGCATTTATATATTACATGTATATCATATTATTTGTTAAAACTTAAAAATTAAATTGATTTATAAGGAATATGCATGCAATAGGGAAAACTGGAAGGGGGGTCTTTATCATTTATTATTTTGCATTATTAAATGTAATACTCTTTTTTCACTGTGTTGTAAATTGTTCAATAAAATATAAATGTCAATCAAAAATTAGGAGGGGGGCAATTTATATTTAGTTTACACTTTTTCATAGTGACTAGTTAGATATAATCTTTTATGGATATTACATAATTTTTTTCTAAATTTCTCCTTACACCAGGTATGCTGGCGTTCATCATTAGCTGCACATGAATTGAATGTTTACAAATACGGAATGTTTACAAATACGGAGATCAAGGAAGATTTGACATTGATGTTGCGTAAGTATGAGAGATGTGTCTGTTGATTTTTTTTTGAAGCCTTATCTCAAAAATAATACTTTTCAAGACATTTATTTTGGAGGGGGCATAGAAAAAAAATTGCCTTATTTAATGTACCCGGTATTTCTCGTAATCGGTGATATTTATTACCGTTTTTTTTTCCTTTGTAGAGAATCTCCACTCATTGACTTGGAAGGACTAATTGGTAACGATTAATCATTTGTGCATTATATCAATGATGAAACATTTATTATACTTAAAAAAGTTATAGGGGTCTGCACCGAGAATTTGTTAGTACATGACTTGTATACATTGTAAGGGGGGAGAGGGGATGTAATTCCTTAGTAATTAAAAACAGATATTGACTTCTGATCAAATAAATATGCATGCATGTGTAGCAAGACTTTGCACAATTTATAAAATTTCAATTGGCCTTTTCAATAGTTTTCAACGTATAATCACAAATATAGTGGGTTTTTTATTCTCAATGGGAAGTTGAAACATCTCATTAATTACCCAGTATTTACTACACTTTTTAGTATATATATAGATTATATATAATTATCCTCAGATTCTGGGAAGTCTGTGATGAGACAGGAAATTGCTGGCCCCTGACAGGGGTTAGTGCCCTGGAACTACAGGAAAGCATGGCCCTCAAAAAGTCCATACTGACCATGCAGGGGGGACATACTCAGTATGTAGATGTATATATCTAATGTTTTGGAGAAATATTACTAATGTTATGTAGAAATATATATCTAATGTTTTTGTAATATTTCCACATTTTGTCAGTATAGATTGTACTTACTTTAACTGGAGTATCCAAAAATGAAAGGAGAGGCGGGTAATAAATTAATCTTTCATTTAATTTTGACTTTTATTTTCTTTAGGGGGACATTTAGGCTGGAAGGTGACAAACTGACAGATTTCAACACACACAGGACTTTATGGATACGAAAGATGGAGGAAACATGAGAATTGAATCTTCCTAAAGGTCTGCATGAGCTAATATTTCAACAATTTAAATGAAAATCCAAAAAATTGGAAAGAGTGTCATATTTATTGATATCATATGTGTATATTTACCAAATATTTAAAAGGATTATCTGATTACAATATATGATTACTTGTTGTAGATGGAAATTTTACAGTTTTGAAGAACATGACAGAAATGGAGTTGTGACTGCTTTCTATATTGACTACGCATTTAATACATCCTTATCAAAACATTAAATTGATACTGTCAATGTAAAAAGTATTTTTAAAATAAAATATGTCAAACTTTATATCAGTTTTTATTTCAAGCATGGAATTAATATTTCTAACATACATTGGATCTGTGCTCAGTGATAAATTGAATAACGCTTGTTCTCTTTTTAATGAAATCTTTAAAAAAATATTAAATATGTATTTTTTATACCCCCCGCAAACGAAGTCTAGGGGGGGGGGGTATATTGCAATCACCATGTCCGTCTGTCTGTCTGTCCGTCTGTCTGTAGACAAGATTTTGTCCGGACCATTACTCAGAAACTATTGAAAGGATTTGTCTGAAAATTTGTACATATATTATTCACCATATGAAGTTGTGCACCTGAAATTTTCATCGTGATTCCATTATTATTTTGAATTTTACAGGTGTTTTTTTCATTTTTATTTTGTGGTTTTGTCCAGACCGTTTCTCAGAAACTATTGCAAGGATTAATCTGAAAATTTGTACACTTATTATTCACCATATGAAGGTGTGCACCTGGAATTTTCAACTCCTTTTGTTCATTTTTCAGCATTTTACAGGTTTTATTTTTTATGTAAATTGACTTGTTCATTTTGGACTCATGTATAAGGTTTGAGATATAGAATCTAGAATATCTGTACAAAAACGTTAACTTCAGCTTAAAACTACTCATAAAAACTTTTAAAAAAGAAACATCATCAAGTGTTAAAAACAGTTTTTACATTGCACAGAAGATAATTTAATTTCATTTGTCTCTTGGGAATAATGACTGAACATGCATCCAGTTAAAGATAAATTAATGAGTTTGGTGTGGGAAGTTGAACATTAAGGCATCTCATTATCAACCATGTGTAATCTCGTGGGAATCGAGCACAAGAATTAAAGATCTCTCTTCTCTTATTCTCTTAATTGTAATTAAAAATATTGTCTGTCAAAGCACTTCATAACTGGATGACCAGTTCTTTATTTTCAAAATGAATTTGATATAAAGTTATCAAGATTAATTTGATTTTGTATAATACAGGTATGATTTTTTTTTCAACAATCAGTTTACAGAGTGACATAACACATAATTGCAATATATTTTTTTAATGCAGAAATAAAAAAATAAAATAAATAACTAATGTTACAATGGAATTACAATGTATGAGTATTGATGTTTCATTTGAATGTTTGCACCTTTGTTTCATTCATTAAGAAACATGATGAGCAATTATATTTCACTGCAAATTTTTGTAAGTAAATTGTGAACACCTCTAGATCCATAAAGTATTTTTGAATTGGCACCTTCTCTGAAAAACCCAGTGGGGGGGTATTTGTCCCTACTGGACAGTTCTAGTTTTTTATTGAAAATGAATTTCCAACCAATTTCTTTGTTATGTATTGTTTGAACCAAATTATATGCCTACTGATATTCAACTCTTTATTTACTCAAGTCAGTATTGATAGCATTAAATTTAATGCGATAAACATTTCTTCAATAACCTGTACTTGTTTAATTTATCTTGTGTCTGTGGCTACTGTATACAGGTAAATTTTCACCCCCAATTTATTTTCGCCCCTTTGCCCTCTCCTTGATTTGGCCAATTGAAAACGGGCGAATTCAAATTACACCTCATAATTTCTTTAACAGAACTATGACCGGGCGAATTTTAAACGGGGCAAAATTGTTCACAAGCTCAAAAGGGCGAAAATAAGACGGGATAAAATAACCCTGTATACAGTATTTGCTTTCATTTAACTATCTTAATGATGTTGAAACACAAAAGAAATTTATTTTTAAAACATTTTAATATGTATACTGATACACTGTTAAATTTCACTTAAATATTTGATTTTCTTAACTTGTCTGTTTCTCCACTGAGCAACAAACAGATTATCATTTGTATCTATACACAGTCCCTTGGGTCCACTCAGTTCACAGTATATGTAACGGAGGAACTGTCCATCCTGGTCTATGATGTGGACACAGTCATTGTCAATATCAGCTATAAGGATGTGACTCTGACTGTCTGTAGTAATTCCTTGTGGACAGAATGTTTGTTTCTTTGGAGCAGGAGTATGTCCAGTGTACCTGAATCTCAGTTTCCTGGCCTGATTGACCACCACTACAGCATTAGCTCTACTGTCAGACACACAGATATCCAGGTTCCTGTTCTCTGTTACGTATCTGTTATAACTACCAGATGAATAGAGAAGGTTACCTTTATCATCAAACTGAATGTTTTGTTTCTCTTTGGAGGCAGAGTAACGGACAACTTTTGTTTGTTTGCCATGATAACTTTCCATGATAACCAGGAAGTCACCAGAAGAGGTACTACAGACACACTGAGGATGCCAGTTCTGTAGGCTGATCAACTCCTCTATCTTCTCATTCTTCACAATGTTCAATGTACTATTATAGTAATCAGTATAAACTAGATCTCCACTTTTTGTCACTATGTCAAATGGACTGTACCCTGACTTTGTTGTGATTGACTTGAGTAGTGATCCCTGATTGATGCTGAAGAGTTTCATTGTTCTGTCAAGTCCACTTGTCCAGATTTCTTCATCACTCAGACAGGCCACATTGAAAAGTCTTTCATACCCAGTGTCTATGGTGGTGACCATCTGTGGTTCATCAAGCAGCTGTTTGACTGGAGGAGAGGATCCAGCTTCTGGTGAATTTTTTGTTGTCTTCATGCTGTAGCCGTATTTATCTGATGTAGGAGAACTCGATGATACAGTTCCAAATATTTTACTAAGGTGTTGTCCTTTGATTTTGCATGGCGTGAATGTAGGTAAAGATGGCAGAACTTTTTGTGGAAGATTTCTATATCTCTCTACACTGAATGTAAATTTAAATAGTTTTGACAAGTCATTAGATTCCACAGCAACATCAACTGAATCAATTTCATCCTTGATGTCCGACATTGTCTTGTTTATTTCATCCAGATGCTTCTGTAGAGTTTGTAACTGTGTGTTTTTCATCTCATCAAGTTCAGCTTTAAGTTTCCTGACAAGTTTGTCAATTTCTCTGTGCCAGTCCTCTCCATGTTTTGTTATGGCTGTAGAGAGATCTCCATATTCCTTTTCTAACTGACTCATTCTGTTTTGTACATCAGAGGCAATGTCCTGGTAGGTTGGGTATATTGTGTCATTTAGCTCAATTTTTTCTTTAATGATGTTTTCCTTTTTTTCATCGATAACTTGTAATATTTTTGATAATTTATGACCTAGATGTTGATCAGAAGCAAGGCAGGTATCACATACAGGAACGTCACATTGATTACAGTACATTGTGCATTGTTGTTTGTCATGAATTTTACACACAGGGAAGAGCAGCGTAGATTTTCTAAGCTTGAACTGAACAACTTCATGTTTTTTGGATTGATCAGATACCATGTGTTCTCCCACACAGGCCTTACACAGGTTGACAAGACATGCATCACAGTGCATCTGTACCACAGCGGTCTCACACAGGTCACATCGCATCACGTCCTGGGCACTGGTACGGGGGTCCATGATCAGAGTAGTCCTGTAGTGTAGAAAAAGGTGGCATTGTTAGAATGATAAAATTACACTGATGGCATCTCAATGTATTGACTGTTATCAATATACTATCAAGTCACATTTATCCTTAGTCAAGTCCAGGAGAACGAAAATAATAAAAACTGTTTAGCGGATCTAGAAATTTTTCAGAGGAGGGATTGAAGGAGTTTTTCAAAGGGCTGGGGGGATAAAGGGGAGAGGATTTATTATAAATTAAGTAAGTTTTGCACATACATGTAGTTAAGGTCATATGCAAGGTAGTTTTAACTTAATTGGGTTCTTCCCTGGAGTTGAAGAGTTCCACTAAATGAAGGACTTGTGTGCAATATTTTTAATGTCTATATATGGATTTGTACACCTCTCCTAAAACAATTTTCGATGAAAAAAATCTGGAGTTTATGTTTTGTAATTTTTGTGCATTTTTCTTTGAATAATGCAAAATTTTTCAAAATTTGATATCTTTTCAAAACCCCTGGTAAGGCATGCTGATTTTTTGTCTAAGAACATGCAATGCTATTAAAAGGTTTAAATTAAGAATATCTTGAAAAATTATCAGTAGGTAAAATACGTTGCGTATGTCCTTAAATAACTCAATAGGATACCTGGTAGTGTTTGGTTTCTTTAAAGTGGGAGGTTGATCAATCTGGGAAAAAGTAGATCTTCTTGTATGAATTACCTGAAAGTTTTTGAAAAAAGAAAGGAAAATATATCTCCGAACCCGAAATTCCTGTTTTGTAAAGTGGGTGGAGTTTAACTATGTATTCTCAACCGAATTTCTATATATATTACAACATAGTCTTTCACTGAACATATTTTACTACTAGTAAAAACACAACAAAAATGGGAGACTTTCTTCTTTCTCTTCCTTTTTTTTTTGCAAATCCAAAGGGGGTTGCAACCCCCGTAACCCCCCCCTCCCTTCTGGATCCTCCACTGCAAATGATAGTGAATTACTACTAGTATATTGTCAAGTGACACTCTTGCTGCCTTGATCATTATTTATATCAATGACCTTGAAAACATTTTTTTAAAGGGATACACATTCTTATGAATATATTTCAAGAATGTACGCATGTCTTCAAAACGATCTTACATGTCGAAAAATTTCTTTCATTTTACATTATAGATACTTGTAGTTTAATTTGTGTCTTGTATGAAATTCGTATGTATTAATTAAATCAAATTTATCAAATGAAATCATTCCATTATTTTTACCTGACTTTAATGGCGTCTGTCTTGTCGGCCAAATGATATCCGAATCAATGTATAGGAGCACATGACCCACTTACCTGCTCACCTGTGCAATATCTATACCTGTCCGGTATTTATACTTCCTGGTTGGAGTCAAATGACGATTTAATTAAATTATCAGCTTTATACACTGCCTAGCGTTAAATATTTCCAAACGCAGTAAAAATTGTGGATTTCAACTCGTGATAAATAAAAGATTTTGTAAATGTATGTCATTGCTCTGTTGCTGGTACATTTAAGTGTAATTCAAATGCGTTTAAAAAAAATAACAAGGTGCCACATAGCTAAATTACGACGGCGTATTAGTGCCATTTTAACAATGTAGAATTTTTTTTTAAATCGTTTGTACGATTTAATAAATCGTTTGGACAATTTATTAAATCGTTTGTACGATTTAGTAAATCGTTTGTACGATTTAGTAAATCGTTTGTACGATTTAGTAAATCGTTTGTACGATTTAGTAAATCGTTTGTACGATTTAGCAAATCGTTTGTACGATTTAGTAAATCGTTTGTACGATTTAATAAATCGTTTGTACAATTTAGTAAATCGTTTGTACAATTTAATAAATCGTTTGTACAATCTGTTTGTTAAATCGTTTGTACAATTTAGTAAATCGTTTGTACAATTTATTAAATCGTTTGTACGATTTAATAAATCGTTTGTACGATTTACTAAATCGTTTGTACAATTTAGTAAATCGTACAAACGATTTATTAAATCGTACAAACGATTTATTAAATTGTACAAACGATTGAGTAAATCGTACAAACGATTTAAAAAAAAAACTTTTACATTGTTAAAATGGCACTAATACGCCGTCGTACTAAATTAACCATTTTAGCAAGAAAAAAAGTCATTTCAATATTGACTGAAAGTTTTACAGCAGTGTCCCCGAAGCCCACCCTACCCCCTTTGGCCCTTGATCTGAAAAAATAAGCATGAATCTACACTACCTACGTGTATTATTAGTCTTTACATATACATGCATATTGATGTATATTGATGTATTCCTTTTAATTGAAACAGGATTATTGATGAAATGATTTATGTCAACTACTAATTGTATAATCGTTTTGCTATTCATTGGCTTACCTTTTCCTTATTATTGTAATAATATCATACTTGTCTGTTGTGGGCTCTAAATTTTTTCTATGTATTTAAATTGAGGGTCGTTATTTGGCCAATGTTGCAGTATGGCACCGTTCTTCTCTGCTCAGACGAGTCGCGATTTTGCAGAAGAGCAGAGGGGGAAATGTATGCTGATTGTTTCATTTCTAAGCAAGACATTAAATGGAGGTTCAGTGATGATTTGGACAGGTTTAAATGTTGACAACAAAACTGATCTGCACATTATTGAAATACCGGGAGACCTATTGGAGGTACTTATGGATGATAATGTTCGACCTCATGGATCATACGTCGTTGTCCAAACCTGAACCAAATTGAACATGCATGGGAAATCTTTAGCACTGCATTTCAGCTGATGTAACGATTCCTAAATTTGACAAGAGCATATTAAGCAGATTTGCAGGAGGAATGGTAACAGATCCCTCGGACTAGCCTTGTTCGGCTGATTCGGCAGCATGAATGGCGCTGTAGGGCCGTTACTGCCTCGCGGGGATGTCACTGGGATACAAATTGCTGGCAAACATTTTACCGACATTATTTGAATTTTCTGAATAAAGCTGTTATTTTCTGGTCTTCATCCAACATATGGCGAATTTTAAAGTAACCGTTATGAATTAGTAGCGTATATTCAAACATACTTATCGCATTTAATGTTTAATTTTCAAACTTTTTATTTAAATATAAAATATGATACTGAAATTAAAATTGAATTCTGCTTTCTGTGATAAATCTATGTAAAAGACATTTAATTCGATGATCGTAACTTTTTGTCCAGTATACTTTAACATGTTGATAATGTATACTCCATTGAATTAAATTAAGGATTCACATTTCAATGTAAAAGAATCTGGTGTCAGGATAAAGAACAGTATACAACAACAATGAATTTATTTGTCACAACAATTTTTAGTACTCAGGGGTCAAGAAAATTTCAACAAATTAATATTGGAAAGGAATAAACAGTCAATCGACTGATGGTTTGTTTAGCAAGGGTAGCCATTTTGTTTTTGCAGAATTGTAGATAACTACGACACTCCTGTAGAAAGATGTCTCCAGTAATAATTAACCATTTCTCTGATGACAAGGACATTTCCACTTTAAGGAGGATCTGGAGATTAAGACAAAGTTAAGTTCCGGTATTATCGGTAATTCCACTGAATTCTAATATATGTACTATGATTCGGTCTTTTCTTTTCGTTCTGGCATTAATAAATGTGAGATCTATAGTCGGTAAGGTTAAACGTTCACTTTTGACCTCCGAGTTTGAAATTTGTTACAGCAATGCTTAGTATAGACTCCTTCTCATTTAGGAAAGCCCCATGCAAGAGTCGACACGTGCACGACAAGAGGCGGATCGTGCATTCGGTCAAACATCCACTGTGATGGCTACGTAGACCAGTATGCTCTGGGATGTAGAAAGAACGTCTGCTGCAAACCAGCGCCATCTACTGTCAATCCCGAACCAGCACATCCAGGTTAACTTCTCTTAGCACTTCACGCACAAGATGTAACAAAGAAATGCTTTATTATAGCTAGTATCTGATCTGACAGTAATTTTAATATGTTTCACAAAGTGCATATATGCATGTACATATTTTTTTAAGTTGGGAAAGAAAGCCTGCCAGACTATTTTTGTTACCTGTCTATTTGTTTCAAGGCACAGACAAGTGCAGACAAATAACACGGGTTCAGACACGCCATGTAGATCCGCGCCTTAGAGTGGTGGGCGGTGAACCAGCTTTGGATGGTGAGTGGCCCTGGCAGGTCAGTTTTCAGGATGACCGCGGTCATTTCTGTGGAGGGACTTTGGTGTCCGACCAATGGGTTGTTACCGCCGCTCACTGTCCCTACGGGTAAGCCAGGAGTGTTCGGAGGGCAACTTGATTACTAGTACAATTTATATAGATTGATAACCAAAAAGTGCTTATAGTAAGAATTAATTGTTGTGAATTACATTGCTTTTTTTATTTAAATAACATCTTGGCTTTTCGTTTTGATTTTCAATAAAAGAACAGTAAATGAAACAAAACCATAAATTTACTTTTCAAAGTATAACTATGCGTACATTTCACATAAAGATAATGTCATTAGACCCTGTAATTATCAAGACGTCTTCGATATGTTTTCCTTTAACGTTTAGCATCCCAACTACACCATAATCTTTAAAATCTACACACACACTTTTAAGAGCATCTAGAAGAAGCTCTCTAGCTCTAGTATAAGTTAAAGGTTTATTTGATTTACATAACTTATAAACATTGTCCTTTTTGAAAAATGTAACCTCTCTAAAAATAAAATCATTAGACTGAAAAGTAAGACCAGCTAATGATATGTATTTTTCAAAATAAGAAACAGGACAAAGTTTATTACTTATTTTCGCTATAACAACAATATTACATTGCATGAAAATATCCGTTTTGCTTTTTTCAACTCTAATTTCAACATGTGAACCTGATTCATGAAACTAAATGTCACACATTCGAATATACACAAGTTTATCATATCTTAAGAAACCTGCATAACCTAATAATACCATACATACCAATCTCAATGATATAAATTTTTTAACTGTGGAAATTTATCCATTATTTTATCTAAAATCTCAGGTGTAATAGGTTCCTTCTTAACTACAGGTTTCGATAACAATCTCTTCCCTCCTTCTAAAATCAAATTTACAAGGTTGTCTGCACATGGATTATTACAAAGATTAATATGATGTGCCCATTGAATACTATAATATGCCGCATTATTGACTGCAACTGAAGACTGCTTTTGTATAAGATAAGACAAATAAACTGCAACATAAGATGGTGTAGCAGGTAATGCAAGAAATTTAAATTAGGCGCACCAGGACTTAAGGGGGCCGACTATAGTTTTATTGTGTGAAAACTACAATAGCGAAACTCTTCATTTTTATACCATATATAACTTACATTAAGTTCAGTGTACATGCAAAGTTTGGGGGAAATCTACCGTCCAGGTATTTATAAGGGACCGTCTCAAAATACAGGTACAATTACTATAGGATTATATAGGAAAATGCCAATTTTTAGCACTTTAAAGCAAATTATATAAATACTACAATAGACATTTTGTTCAAACTATAATATTTGATGAGTAATACTATATTATACAATATACGTAAGAAACACAAAATTCTACCGTCTTGTTGCCAGAGGGGGGCATCTCAAAATGCAAAAAATTAGCAAATTTTACTATTTTTATAGAGTATTACAAAATATGACGTACACAATGGATTTACATGAAAACATAACAAAAATATTGGAGATATTCTCAAATTTCTATGTTTTAAATTTCAAGAGCGTATGTTTATTACTTTTTCTTTAGTAATATTTTTATTACCCCTTTCTTTAAGAGCTACAGATTATCATAACGTCAAAAACACACTGCAACGACGTCAACCTACCTATCAATTGCAAAATCAGTTAAAAAATCAGTTATATCAAATTGTAATTACATTTTCATACCTATAATTTCTTAATTTTGATTATTTTAATAATTAAGCGAAAAAAAGTTGCATTAAAACAGTAAATACGCTTCATTTTACTATGATGCGCAAAATATTGCGCAATGGAAACTATAGTCGGCCCCCTTAAACTGTAAAAAATAGCTTCTGTATTTTTATACGTGTTATCACTTTTACTGTGCATTACTATATCATTCATTTTGAGTACCGTGTCCTTGAGTCTAGGATCTTGAATCTTTTTAATTTCTTTCCAATGCGAGAAACTAAATGTGAGCTGAAATTAAAAAAAAAATAAAATTACTTCATATTAAATATATATACATTTATGTCTCTTGATCAACATTTCAGCCCGTTCTTGATAAAATCTAATAAGCACATCTGTAATCTTAATCATAATGCTTCATTAACAATTGTACGCAACATAATATAAAATTTATTCACAATTGCCCCATCGAGGCTTCATCACAATTGCCTCATCCGGGCTTCATCATTATTGCCCCATCCGGGCTTCATCACAATTGCCCCATCCGGGCTTTTTTTTCATTACAAAAGCCCCATAAAGGCTAACATACATTCATTATCATTGTCTGTTATAACATAGCATAAACACAAAATTCAACAATCAGAACAGTCTATATAAAGCACAATAACATTACTTTGAAACTGTGGTTCAGCAAACACACTCTCTGCATGAAATCCTTTCCTAAAAAAGTTTCAAGGCTTGTGATATTCAAGCCATTCTTTAACAAAATTTTGAAAATTTCCAGAAAACGGCTTAACTAATCATGCCAAAAAGGTGCAGACTGCCATTTAGGAACAATAAGAGTACCTCTTGCTTTGCACAAAATCAATTGTTTAATCACTTTTATAATCAGATTAACAGGAGGTACTATCCAATTATTACCTTTTGACCAATCAAACCCAAAAGCATCTACATCTGATGTTCCAGGATTCCAAAATCTGGAATAATTTTTTTTCTACTTTCTTATTTTTACAGTTTGAAAATAAATCATTATCAAATGGCCCCCATTTCTTACTTAAAAACTGGAAAATGTGATCACCCACTGACCAATCATCAAAATCAAAAATCTTACTGTACGCATCAGCAATTTGATTCATCTAGGATAAGCACGTGTTGTTCTGTTGAAAGGCTTCTTCTTGTTGCTTCTTTTCTTTGCTCTGAAAATAGCTTGTCGAAGCTTAGTAGCATCGTCAGCGTCGTCAGTAAGAGGATCACCATCATACTCGTACAACGTCCCAACCATATTTATCCGCTATGCGAACAGTTTTGTTCCTTTTATTCAAATGAGATATAGTAAAATTCAAAATGTCTTTAGCCGCTTCTAATCTGTTATTTTCCAACAGGTTTAATACATGTACTTTTTTAATGTCAATGTCCCTTTCTGCATTGAATTCAAACTGAATTTTATTGCCTTGATATCTAAAGTCAGGTACCTTTTTTCTGTGGACTTCTGGGCTAAATTCAACTCGCTGACGATTTCTTGCTTTTGCCGTCTAAGCGCCCTATCGAATTTGTCTGTAAAAATATCCAGTGCATCTTGAGTAGTGGATTCATCTTGCTAATTTTGTGTCAAGCAAGGTCGTCCACTTTGGCCAATTTGAGGCGCAGCATGCATGTATAACCCGCTCCTCGTGACTAGAAATTGACTCATTCATTCCAGGTAAAGCGTGTTCGAAATCTGGTTGATTATTGCTCGTCGATGACCGCTTTACGCCTGACCAACTTCTTATATACCATGACCAAACAACTACCCTTAAATGTGCTTACGCGCATAAATTAATCCTCACATACAACTTATAGAAATTGATTGAACTGGTGATAATGACAGTTATGCTGTACTACGACATCTACGCATTCCCATAACCTCTGCTATGACGTGTAACTCCAGCTGGGACGGTGTCATCACTGACAAACAGCTCTGCATAGGAACTGGGGACACGGGGGCATGCCGGGTAATAGAGTTTCAGAAAGAAATATAATAAAGGGAAAGATTATAGATCAATCCATCCGTCTTATACCCACGGGTGATCACGTCTCTTACTTTTCACATAGTATTGAGGGATTACATCTATAAGGCTCAGAGATATTGGGGTTACATATATACTAACCGGTAATATGCTTAAGTTTGGCCAAATATAAAATTTTTTTTAGAAAAAGAAAATGACGTTGATAAGAACAAATACAAATAAATACATGTTAATTAATTCAATGATTGTCAAGTTCACAACAAGTTAATGTTTCGTACACTCTTAATTTTGACTTAGGTCTTCTTTTTCAATCTTAAATAGATTTAAAATTTTCTCTATCTTGTGTCAGCATAAATTTCAGCATGTTTTTATCCTATGTTTCAAATTAAATGTACGAGGGTTGTCCCATAAAATCGTGGACAAAGCGTTTTCTCGAAAAGTAATGGGCGCACTAAGCTGAAAATTTCAGTTAATGTTTATTGCGTGGACCCTGCGGTCCACGCAGTAAATATATAAGCGAAGTTAAAGCGGATGCCCTGGGCAAACGACAGGCTACACATGCGCGGGAATGCTAGAGAGTTCGCACCTTAGGTAACTTGCCCGTAGAATAATTCGCCCTATTCGAATTAAAATATGCCATTCATTGGCAAATCGCGCTTTTAAATCTGCACATAGCATTTACATATTCATTGGCAGATCCGATTTCCTCTCTTTTATTCATGTACTTTTACACTAAACATTGATTCTATGGTACAAACATTTTAGAAGTTACAGTATATACCGTGGTAGTACATGTAAATTAACAACTTGAATGAGAAATGTCACTCAACGAACAGAAATAAATTTAGCTTTTAAAGCTTTTAAAGTAGAACAAGTTTCCACTGGCATAAGCTTTGTGCATCAAGACTCGCAAAATAATTAAATATTTCAGCAATCTAATTATTGTTTGATAAAGGTCTGTAGCAAGGGCTTTCAATGTGTGTGTGTTGGGGGTAGGGGTGGGGATGGGGACTCCGACAAAATAAAAAAAAATCTGCGTTGTACAGAGGTGTGCTACACGTGAACCATCAGTTCTCCATTTTTCCCATGATAAATTTCTTCCGTATAAATCCAGAACAGGTGTCAAGTCCCAGCCAATATTTGTTACACGTGTCAAAATAACCCGATTTTTAAAACATGTTACAACTGACAAAACTAAAGATCGCTAATCGGAAATAAAATTTCACATGTGTGTTTTGAGACAACGATCAGTTATAAGTGGCAGATAATTTTAGAATAAGTGAACAAACCGTACATGTATATTCCCTACACCTAGAAATTTTCTTAATTGAATTTCAGTTAGAAAAAACACGCATATGGTCCACGTATTGCAGTCCTTTTTTTAAAGGACAGCAACTTGTTTATCATATTTAAGTGCATGATAATTTTTTTTATAAGATATAGGCAAAAATAAAAATATTATTATCCTTGAATGTGCACGGGGTATTGTCCTACGGCGCACGCACATAAACCAAGGTTTTATTAAAGAAGACACAAGTTTAAATTCAAAATAAAAGTTTTTAATGCATAAGATTTGGATAAAAATTACCCTAATTCAATTCAACATTAAATTTTGTAGTCTTTGTAAATATTTTAAGGCATTTGGTTAATTTTTTGCAGTTTCTCGAGCATTCGAAATGGGAAAGTGGTAAACACAACACGCGAAAAATGGTGACGTTTAATGACGTTACGGCGCACTGGAGAGCAGTTCCGTTTTAATTTGATGTTGTAATGACACCTTTAGAGACTTGAAATTACCATAGAAGAAAAAAAGATTGTAAAGATATCACCATATCTTAAGTATACAAATGAAATGGGAGTTTTGTTAGCGAATTCTTTTTTGAACGAGCCCCTTGGGAGTGCAAAACATACGGACAAACTTCTTATGTAATAGCAAAAGACGCTGCCACAGTAGACCGCCGATATGAGATTTTTTTATTAGTTGAATGATGGTGAGAATATTGTCCGTAACTTAAACTAATAAATCTTCAGAAGATTGCATGAGGGTGTCAATTGGTTGTTCGGCTGTTTATGGAGACTAAAGAATGTGTATCAATGAAATTCCTAAATTTAAGTCGGACTTATCCAACTTCATTTTCAGCAAAGATAAAACGTGACGGTATTTTAGACACTTTGACGTTATAATCCATGCGCCTTAAGGTGATACAATACATGGCATTAAATCTCATAATGTGTTTATTGATGCATATATTAATCTGAAAGCTGTGCATATTACTAAAATATGTACTAAATAAATAGTGAAAATTTCAAAACGCAGTGATATTTATTTTATACACTAGACAACTTGTCCACGATTTTACGGGACAACCCTCGTACATATTTATTATTGATGCCCTGGCATACCCTACAAACTAAACAATGATTCCTTACAAATTTTCTATCATGGTAGCTAGACTAAATCAAATGTTGGTAAAATATCTGTAGTCCTTCTATTTTGCTTGTTTTTTTCAGAGACCCAGTATGTTCTTGTTGTTCTTGACACTGGAGACAAGGTACCACTGCTGGACATTTGACCAGGAGAACCTGCTCTTCTACAAATCCTCACCAGTCTCGGGTTACACAGCCTTACCTGTAGGAACACTGGTCAGAAGAGGTAAACCGGAGGCCATCGTTCAATGTTTTATGGCATAGAAACTTAAAACTAACCATTTAATGTAACAATTTCACAGTTCAAATTTTACATTACAAGGTAAATTTTGATGCTCTTTTCTTTATATATGTATTTGGATTGGGTGTAATAAAAAAATTGTACTAAGAATTTATCAAATTATATTGATTTATAATGTTGATGCAGTAATAACTTTATCATTTAAAACACTTTTGAAGGCAGACATTGGAATTATGACGATCAAGATGGAGGTCCAGATGAAATAGGGGTCGTCATCATCAACAAAGATGGAGGACGGCTAGTCAAGGTATGTGAAAACCACTGTGAAATACAATCAGACATTCTGAATGAACTCTAAAGATAATGAACAGTAGACCATTAAAACAACAGAGCAAATACAGACATCTAAAAACATCAGCGGTGGGATCAGGTGCCATGGAGGAGTAAGCTCCCTGTCAACCAGGCACATCTGCAGAATGTTCCTTGTCAGGTTTCATCAGATGGAGGGATATTCAATTTTTTTCTTGAAACATGTTAAATCCTAATTTTGTTTTTGTGTTAGTAGAGGATGGTCCTGTTTTCATTTATTTTTTTGAAAGAGAAAAAAAAATAGATTTTAGGTAAATAGGTTGATAAATTGCAAAAATTACCCTCACAATTTGTTCCCATATACAAAATACTTGTACTCTTTTCAAACAAACAACATTTATGTAAATTTAATGGTGTTTGTTAAAACTTATCAGATTAAAATTGATTTACAAGGACTATACATGTAATAGGGAAAACTAGGGGGGGATTTCTTTATCATTTATTATTTTGTAGTATTAAATGTAGTACTTTTTTTTAACTGTGTTGTAAATTGTTCAATAAAATATAATGTCAATCAAAAAAAAAATTTTTTTTTGGGGGGGGGCGCAATTTACATTTAGTTTACACTAGTTTATAGTGACTAGTTAGATATAATCTTTTATGGATATAAACATTAAATTTTTTCTTAATTTCTCCTTACAACAGGTATGCTGGCGTTCACCATTAGCTGCACATGAATTGAATGTTTACCGATTTGGAGATCAAGAAAGATTTGACATTGACGTTGCGTAAGTTTGAGAGATGTGTCTGTTGATTATTTTGAAGCCTTATTTCAAAAATAACACTTTTCATATATTTGGGATAGGGCCATAAAAATTGTCTTATTTAAATTTATATTTCTAGTAATCAGTGATAACTTTATTTATTACCATTTTTTTCCTTTGTAGAGAATCTCCACTCATTGACTTGGAAGGACTAATTGGTAATGATTTATCACTTGCACGTTATATCAATGATGAAACATTATTTTTTATACTTACAAGAAATGACTACAGCGAGAATTTGTTAGTACATGTATATATTGAGGGGGAGGGGGGTAATTCCTTAGTTAAAAACAGATCTTGACTTCTGATTGTATCAATATTCATGTAGCAAGACTGTGCAATTAATATTTAAAAAAGAAGAAGGTATGGTTTTAGCTTTTTTTGCGCCCTAAATATGTAATGACATCAAAAAGTTTTGAAACTTGCTTAAATATTAGTTAAATAAATGACTCTAATGAATCAGGAAAGAATATGGCATGAAGATTTACTATTCTGCAAATATGAATTAAGTCATTAATGTGAAGCATTTATCTATTTTCAACAGAAAAAGCCCCAAAATGGCACATTTCAAGGGTGATTTTCCTTTAGAACACAGTGTCCACTCAACAGCCGTCCCCCACGTTTATTTTTTGATATTTTGTGCAAAATTCATGACAAATCACATATCTCAAGATCTTTGTGGGCGATGCCTGTGGACAATGTTATCTGAAAGAAAACTTTATTGAAAATTGGTGTCTTCTGCAACTTTTTAAGAAAATACGGGAAAATGCACATGTTTATGACGTCATAATTAGCATTTTAACACATGTGAGAAAAATGACTTGTATGATTTTTCTGTATTGAATTTCAATTTTTTAAAAATCAGGAGTCTTAAACTTTTACATCAGTTTCATTTTCACAGGGCAAAATTTGTATGGAAACAATACCTTTTTCTTTCAATTGGTCTTACACTCATTTTTAAAATATGATCACAAATAAAGTGGGTGTTTTTTTTATTCTCAATGGGAAGTTGAAACATCTCATTCATAACCCAGTGTTTACTTCATTTTTCGAGTATATATATATATATATATATATATATAATTATATATACATGTTAAATTTAATAATCCCCAGATTCCGGTTCCCCGAGGTGGGAGGTCATTGATGAGGCGGGGAAGTGGTGGCCCCTAACAGGGGTCAGTGCCCTACAACTAGAGGACAGCGTGGCCCTCAAAAGGACCATACTGACCATGCAGGAGGGACATATTCAGTATGACAATTTTTAAATTTGTTTCTGAATGATAAAATCTCTAAAATAATCTGATAATATGTTAAACACTTAGGAAATGCTACGTGTACCACATTTATTAGTAGACAGTCATACTTGTACATGTACTTATTTCTGCTGGATGAACCAAATATTAAAAGAGAGGTTGTTAAAGTGATATTATATTATATCTTTCATTTAATCGTGGCTTCTTTCTCAATTGGGAGGTTGAATAAAATTATAGTTTTTTTTATCTGATTATGACTTTTATTTTCTTTAGGGGGACATTTAGGCTGGAAGGTGACAAACTGACAGACTTCAACACACACAGGACTTTAAGGATAAGAAAGTTGGAAGAAACATTAGAATTAATCTTCCTTGAGGTCTGACCTGAGCTGATATTTCAACAAATTTTAATGAAAATCAAAAAAAAAAAAAAATGGAAAGAGTGCCATATTTATTGATACTATCTGTGTATATTTACCACATATTTTAAAGAATTACATGTTTATGATTACAAGATATGATTATTTGTTTTAGATGGAAATTTTAAGGTTTTGAAGAACATGACAGAAATGGAGTTGTGACTGCTTTTTCTATATCTGCTACGCATTTAATACATGTACATCCTTATCGAAACATTGAAATTGTCAATGTGAAAAGTATTTTTTAAAAATAAAATATGTCAAACTTTATGACAGTTTTTATTTCAAGCATGGAATTAATACCGTATAAGTAGAATTTTTAGCGAGGATTTAATATTGGCATTATTAGCCGAGATCGCTAAAATTGAATGTCGCTAAAAATTAATCGCATTTCATTTCTAATAGTAACTTTAATGTGCATTTTAAAATCTCTAAATTAACATCTCGCTAAAAATAAATTACCAGTTTTAAAGGACAAATCGCTAAATTTGCGTCTCGCTAAAATTTCCACTTATATTGTATATCTGACATGCATTGTTTCATATAATTATATGACACTGAAATCTCTGCTGATAAATTAAATAACGCATGTTCTTTTTTTTTTTTAAAGAAATCTTTAAAAATATTAAATATGTGATACCCTTTAGTATTCTGAGAAAGGGGAGAAAATGTGCATGTTTTAATTTAGGGAATAACTATATTTTTATTTGGCATTTGCAACTGTTAATGCCGATTTAACTGTCACAAACTGAGTTTTACCAGTGACGCGTAAATTACTTTGTTACATTGTCTGAACAAAATTATATGCCTACCAGCATTCAACACTTCATTTACTCAAGTCAGTATTGAAAGCATTAGACTTAATGCGATAAACATTTCTTCAGTAACCTGTAACTGTTTAATTTATGTTGTGTCTGCGGCTATTGATTTGATTTAATTTTCTTAATGATGTTGAAACACAAAAAAAATTTATTTTTAAAACATTTTAATATGTACTGGTACACTGTTAAATTTTACTTATATATTTGATTTCCTTCACTTGTCTGTTTCTATACTGAGCAACAAACAGATTGTCATTTGTATCTATACACAGTCCATAGGGATTACACAGTCCGCAGTCTATGTAACGGAGGAACTGTCCATCCTGGTCTATGATGTGGACACAGTCATTGAAATAATCAGCTGTAAGGATGTGACTCTGACTGTCTGTGGTTATTCCTAGTGGATTGAATGGTTTGTACTTTGGACCAGGAGTATGTCCAGTGTACCTGAATCTCAGTTTCCCGGCCTGATTGACCCCCACTACTGCTCTAGCTCCCTCATCAGACACACAGATATCCAGGTTCCTGTTCTCGGTTATGTGTATGATATAACCACTTGATGAATAGAGAGGGTTACTTTGATCATCAAACTGAATGGTTTGTTTCTCTGTGGAGCCAGAGTAATGGACAACTTTTGTTTGTTTGTAATCATCACTTTCCATGATAACCAGGAGGTCACCAGAGGAGGTACTACAGACACTCCAAGGTCTCCAGTTCTGTAATTTGATCACCTCCTCTATCTTCTCATTCTTCACAATGTTCACAGTTCTATCAGCATAATCAGTATAAACTAGATCTCCACTTTTTGTCACTGCTATGTTAGATGGTATTTTCCCTGACTTGGTTGTGATTGACTTTAGTAGTGATCCCCGATTGATGCTGAAAAGTTTCATGGTACTGTCACTTCCTTTTGTCCAGATTTCTTCATCACTCAGACAAGTCACATTGTAAAGGTATCCATACCCAGTGTCTATGGTGGTGACAGTCTCTGGTTCATCCAGCAGCTGTTTGACTGGAGGAGAAGATCCAGCTTCTGGTGATTTCTGTGTTGACTTCATACTGTAGCCATGTTTATCTGATGTAGGAGAACTCGATGATACAGTTCCAAATATTTTCTTAAGGTCTTGTCCTTTGATTTTGCATGGCGTGAATGTAGGTAAAGATGGCAGAATTTTTTGTGGAAGTTTTCTATATCTTTCTACACTGGATGTAAATTTAAATAGTTTTGACTTGTCATTAGATTCCACAGCAAGATCAATTGATTCAATTTCATCCTTGATGTCAGACATTGTCTTGTTTATTTCATCCAGATGTTTCTGAAGAGTATTTAACTGTGTGTTTTTCATCTCATCAACTTCAGCTTTAAGTTTCTTGACAAGTTTGTCAATTTCTCTGTGCCAGTCCTCTCCATGTTTCGTTATGGCTGTTGAGAGATCTCCATATTCCTTTTCTAACTGACTCATTCTGTTTTGTACATCAGAGGCAATGTCCTGGTAGGTTGGGTATATTGTGTCATTTAGCTCAATTTTTTCTTTAATGATGTTTTCCTTTTTTTCATCGATAATTTGTAATATTTTTGATAATTTATGACCTAGATGTTGATCAGAAGCAAGGCAGGTATCACATACAGGAATGTCACATTGATTACAGTACATTGTGCATTGTTGTTTGTCATGAATTTTACACCCAGGGAAGAGCAGCGTAGATTTTCTAAGCTTGAATTGAACAACTTCATGTTTTTTGGATTGATCAGATACCATGTGTTCTCCCACACAGGCCTTACACAGGTTGACAAGACATGTATCACAGTGCATCTGTACCACAGCGGTCTCACACAGGTCACATCGCATCACGTCCTGGGCACTGGTACGGGGGTCCATGATCAGAGTAGTCCTGTAGTGTAAAAAAAGGTGGCATTTTTAGAATTATAAAATTACACTAATGGCATCTCAATGTATTGACTGTTATCAATATACTATCAAGTCACATTCATCCTTAGTCAAGTCAAGGAGAACGAAAATAATAAAAACTGTTTAGTAGCGGATCTAGAAATTTTTCAAAGGAGGGATAGAAGGAGTTTTTCAAAGGAGTGGGGGGGGGGGTAAAGGGGAAAGGATATATCATAAAGTAAGTTTTACACATAAATAAATCAATGGGATACCTGGTAGACTTTGGTTTCTTTAGAGTGGGAGGTAAATGATAAATCTGGGGAAAAGTAGATCTACTTGTATACCTTAAAGTTTTTGAAAAAAGAAAGGCAAATATATCTCCGAACCCGAAATTCTTGTTTTGTAAAGAGGGTGGGGTTTGATTATGTATCTTTATATTTTACAACATAGTCTTTCACTGAACATTTTTTATAACTAGTAAAAACACAACAAAAATAGGAGACTTTCTTCTTTCTCTTCCTTTTTTTTTTTGCAAATCCAAAGGGGGGGGGGCATCCCCGTAACCCCCCCCCTCTTCTGGATCCGCCACTGCAAATGATACTGAATTACTACTAGCATATATTGTCAAGTGACACTCTCGCTGTCTTGATCATTATTTATATCCATAACCTTGAAAACACTTTTTTGAAAGGGATACACATTCTTATGAATGTATTTCAAGAATGCACGCATGTCTTCAAAACGATATCGATCTTACATGTCGAAAAATTTCTTTCATTTTTAGGTCACCTGAGTAAACTCAGGTGACCTATTGCTATCCGTTGTTGTCCGTCGTCGTCCGTCGTCCGTCGTCCGTCGTGCGTTAACATTTGAACATTTTCAGCTTCTTCTCTGAAACCGCTCAACCAATTTCAACCAATTTTAGCACAAAGCATCTATGGGTGAAGGGGAACAAAAATTGTGAATTTCATGATCCTTGCCCCCCTGGGGCCTGGGGGGGTGGGGCCAAAATCACTAAAATTAATGCAATCTTTAAAAATCTTCTTCTTTACTCCTGGACATCAAGCAGTCAAACTGTTTGCATGATTGTAATCAGCAATAAGTCCTCTACCAAAATTGTGAAATTTATGGCCCTGGGGTCAGGGGTTCTAGTGCTAGGGCGGGGCTAAATAAGTAGGTAGTGAAAATGCATTATTTCTTTGAAAAGCTTCTTCTCTGCTCCTGGGTATTAAATAAACCAACTAAGTACATAGTTATGATGAGCAAGAGTGCCTCTACCAAAATTGTGAATTTTATGGCCCCAGGGTCAGGGGTTCTGGTGTTAGGGTGGGGCTCTATTGATTATATATAGTGAAAATACATGATTTCTTTGAAAATCTTCTTCTCTGCTCCTGGGTATTAAATAAACTAACTAAGTACATAGTTATGATGAGCAAGAGTGCCTCTACCAAAATTGTGAATTTTATGGCCCCAGGGTCAGGGGTTCTTGTTTTAGGGGGGGCGCTCTAATAATTGTATAGTGAAATGCATGAATTCTTTGAACATCTAATCCTTTGCTCCTGGTTAATATACAATACTAATGATCTAATTACATATTTAAGGCCAGGATTTATTTTATTTGCAGTTTTACAAACCCTGTGCTCAAGGTTTTGAATTTTCAGAAAAAAATAAAAAAAATTTCTTTCCGATGTCAAATTTGAGTCGGGATCGAGATTTCAAATTTACGAACTCGCACTTCCGGTTTTAAGGGCGGGTAAATAAAGCCAGATGGTCTGAGAAGATTGGTTTAGTGTAAAATTCTTTGATACGAATTCCATTCAAAACGTTTCACCCGTCCAAAGGACAAATAAAATGCTGATGACTTTGTTGCACAATGACATGCTGGTGAGATAATTATGTATTCGTTTCAAAAGTATCTGTCTGTAAATTATTTTCCTCCCCCAGGTTTTAAACTGCCCGTGGTAGCTATTGCATATTGCCAGCGACATTGTTTAGGTCTCTGTGATAGCTTACAGTCTAAGCATCATTCTTCAGAAAAGGGTTGCTTATGCATCAGATGTAATGAATAAAACTGTGGGAGAAGTTAAGTCCATTTGAGGAAGAAATAAACAATAACCTGAAGAAATTTAAAAAAATTCAACTATTAAAAGGCAAGAATATACAAATATATACAGGCATGTAGTATCATTTATATCAGCCAGAAAAATTATTTTACACTTAATTGAAAAAATGTTCACCCTACTCCACAATTCTCCCTGTCTGTTTTATGATAGGAATTATAATTTTAGGCATCAATTAAATCTTAGAACAAAGTCTACACATTTACCTAACACATATTTAAAAAAAAATTATTCTAATGTTCATAACTAAACCTGAACATAAAAAAAATGCTGGCCTTATAATGAAGAAAGGGGCCTCTTTCAAAATAGATAATTTCAGTGAATTTTATGGCTTTTGGATTAAAGCATGAACCAAATGCAATCGCTGGAAAGTTGTTACATGATACTCAGGTGACCTATAAGGCCCGTGGGCCTCTTGTATATTTTAGATACTTGTAGTTTATTGTGTCTTGTATGAAATTCTTATGTAGATATTAAATCAAATTTATCAAATAAATCATAACTATTTTTACCTGACTTTAATGGCGTCTGTCTTGTCGGCCAAATGATATCCGAATCAATGTATTGGAGCACATGACCCACTTACCTGCTCACCTGTGCAATATCTATACCTGTCCGGTATTTATACTTCCTGGTTGAAGTCAAATGACGATTTATTAATTAATTAAATTATTAGCTTTATACACTTCCTGGTGTTTAAAATTTCCAAACGCAGTAAAAATTGTGGATTTCAACTCGTTATAAATAAAAGATTTTGTAAATGTATGTCATTGCTCTGTTGGTACATTTAAGTGTTATTCAAGTGCGATTTTAAAATTAACAAGATATGTCACATCGCTAAAATAACCATTTTAGCAACAAAAAAAAGAAGTCATTTCAGTATTTACTGAAAGTTTTACAGCAGTGGCCCGTAGGGCCTTGATCAGAAAAAATAAGCATAAATCTACACTACCTACGTGTATTTTTAGTCTTTACATATACATGCATATTGATGTATTCCTTTTAATTGAAACAGGATTATTGTTGAAATGATTTATGTCAATTACTAATTGTATAATTGTTTTGCTATTCATTGGCTTACCTTTTCCTTATTATTGTAATAATCTCATACTTGTCTGCTGTGGGCTCTAAATTAAAAATAAAATGTTCTGTTCTCCTCTGTAGAGATGCTCCCATATGTCAAATATGATCAATAATGGCTTTGCTGTTCCTGGAAAATATTTTGAAAGAATTTTTTCTATGTATTTAAATTGAGGGCCGTTATTTGGGCAATGTTGCAATATGGAACCGTTCCTCTCTGATCAGACGAGTCGCGTTTTTGCAGAAGAGGGGGAAATGTATGTTGATTGTTTCATTTCTAAGCAAGAGACATTAAATGGAGGTTCACTGATGATTTGCACAGGTTTAGCTGTCTCTGCTTAGACGAGTCACCATTTTGCAGGAGCAAAGGGGGAAATGTATGCTGATTGTTTCATTTCTAAGCAAGAAACATTAAATGGAGGTTCATTGATGATTTGGACAGGTTTAACTGTCTCTGCTCAGACGAGTCACCATTTTGCAGGAGCAAAGGGGGAAATGTATGCTGATTGTTTCATTTCTAAGCAAGAAACATTAAATGGAGGTTCATTGATGATTTGGACAGGTTTAACTGTTGAGAACAAAACTGATCTGCACATTATTGAAATACAGCACTAAAAAAATAAACTAATGAAAGTCACTGGGAAGACTAGTAAATTTACTGTCCATACAATGACTATCTTGAAAGTAGTTTTACCAAGTATTGGTAGATTCACTAGATAACATTAGTAAATCTAAGATTTTCTAAGTAACTTTCACTAGGTATCTAAGTATATTTACGACCACTACTCCATGTTTCACTATGTTAGCTAGTACACAGAATGATTACTAATCACAAAGAACTCTTTACTAGGCACACTAGTTGAATCAACTGGGTAATTCTCTCAGTGAGGGAGACCTATTGGAGGTACTTATGGATGATAATGCTCGACCCCATGGATCATACGTCGTTGTCCAAACCTGAACCAAATTGAACATGCATGGGACAATCCTTAGCACTGCATTTCAACTGATGTAACGATTCCTAAAATTTACAAGAGCTTTAAGAAGATTTGCAGGAGAAATGGTAACTAATCAGTCGGATTTACCTTGTTTGGTTGATTTGGCAGCATGAATGGCGCTGTAGGGCCGTTACTGCCTCGCGGGGATGTCACTGGGATACAAATTGCTGGCAAACATTTTACCGACATCATTTGAATTTTCTGAATAAAGCTGTTATTTTCAGGTCTGCATCCAACATATTCAAACATACTTATCGCATTTAATTTTTTAATTTTCAAACTTTTTATTTAAATATAAAATATGATACTGATATTAAAACTGCATTCTGCTTTCTGTGATAAATTCTATGTAAAACAATTCGATGATCGTTAACTTTTTGTCCATTATATTTTAACATTTTGATATTTTATACTCCAGTGAATTAAATTAAGGATTCACATTTCAGTGTAAGAGAATCTGGTATCAGCATAAGGAAAGGTATACAACAACGATAAATTTATTTT